GCGATAATCATAAAAGCTTTGCTGGAAGTTTAAGATACTTAAAGCTCTTTTAATCATTATCATAATTTTTGAGTTACAGCTCGATAAATATTTTTGTTTCTCTTAAAGTTTATCAGTGGTAAATGAGTTGCCTGGTCAGTGTTTAGTATTATAGCCAAGAAATGAAATGGAGATATTTCACCATACATTAGATGAATAATAATACGTAAAAGGTACTCATAGATTCTGAAGACAGGCTATAGGATTGCTCAGAAAGAAATACTCATAAGTTCTAGAGATCTGTTGTACAACATTGTCCCTATTATTGTACACTTTACAATTTCTTAGGAAAATAGAATGTTCTTACCATGATAAAATAATTTTTTTAAAAAGGAAATATTAATCTTACTCGTTTTTTAAGAGAAATAATGGTAACAGAAATTATTATAAATCCTCTTTCCTGGTGTAGTAAGTTTTAAGTTAAGGCCACCCAAAAGATATGTCCACATCCTAATCCTCAGAACCTGTGAATGTGACCTCATTTAGAAAAAGGGTCTTTGTACAATTAAGAATATTGAGGCTCGGCATGGTGGCTCATGCCTATAATCCCAGCACTTTGGGAGGCCAAGGCGGGCAGATCACTTGAGGTCAGGAGTTCGAGAGCACCGTGGCCAAAATGGTGAAACCTTGTCTTTACTAAAAATACAAAAATTCGCTGGACATGGTGGAGCACGCTTGTAATCCCAGCAACTTGGGAGGCGGAGGCTGGAGGATTGCTTGAACCTGGGAGGCAGAGGTTGCAGTGAACTGAGATAGTGCCACTGCACTCCAGCCTGGGTGACAGAGAGAGACTCTGTCTCAAAAAAAAAAAAAAAAAAGGCCGAGTGCCGTGGCTCACACCTGTAATCCCAACACTTTGGGAGGCCAAGGTGGGTGGATCATCTGAGGCCAGGAGTTCGAGACCTACCTGACCAACATGGTGAAACCCCATCTCTACTAAAATAGAAAATTAGCCAGGTGTGATGGTTCATGCCAGTAATCCCAGCACTCAGGAGGCTGAGGAAGGAGAATCGCTTGAATCCAGGAGGTGGAGGTTGTAGTGAGTTGAGGTGGCACCATTGCACTCCAGCCTGGGCAAGAAGAGCGAAACTATTCCTCAAAAAAATAAAATAAAATTGAGATGAGGTCATCCTGGATTACTCATGTGGCCCCTAAATTCAGTGGTGAGAGTCCTTGTAAGAGATATACAGAGAGGAGGCACAGGGAGAAGAGGAGAAGGCCATGTGGAGATGGAGCAGACACTGGAGTTATATTGCCACAAGGCAAGGAACACCTGGAGTCACTAGAAGCTGGACTAGAAGGCACGAATTCCACCTAGAGCCTTTGGAAGGCACACGTTTCTGCCAACACCTTGGTTTCAGAATTCTGGCCTCCAGAACTGTGACAAAATGAAATTTCCCTTAGTTAAGCCACCAAGTTTGTGGTTGTTATACAGTCCTAGGAAACTAACATACTTGAGAAACTTACACTAGAATCACCTTAGAAAAGTGATTTCTGAAATCAGGAAAAAAAAAAATAAGGCGACTCATGATTGTATCTTCAAAGCTAGTTTCTACACCATAGGATCCAACGTGCCTGGTACACGGCACACCATCAGTTGCTACTTCATCCCCATACGCATTCCAGCAACCCATTCTGTTACCATCACATGGCTACTGCCCAACCCCAGCTACTCTCCAAAGTCTGCATTTCCAAATTAATTTAGACTAAAACTGCACTAGAATCACCACATATAACCTGCCAGAAACCTGAAAACCCGAGAGGTTCTGATTCAGGAAGCCTGGGGTGGGGCCCAGGTATCTGCATGTTTAACAAGCTTCACATAAGATACTAATGTCCACCAAAGACTGAAACCTCAAACCCAGGGCACTCAGCAGCTGCACTATCTCATCCCCAAACCCTCTTGGGCTGATAGGCAAGGGGAATGGTGTGATGGAGAGAGCAGGGACCACAGGCCAGAGGACAAGGAGTACAAAGAAGAACGTAAGACACATTTTGAGAGGAATCTACAATCAGTCAGGCATGATGGCTCATGCCTGTAATCCCAGCACTTTGGGAGGCTGAGGTGGGCGGATCACTTGAGGCCAGGAGTTCGAGACCAGCCTGGCCAACATGGCGAAACCCCATCTCTATTAAAAATACAAAAACATTAGCCAGGTGTGGTGGTGCGTGCCTGTAATTTCAGTTACTCAGGAGGCTGAGGCACAAGAATTGCTTGAACCTGGGAGGTGGAGACTGAATGAGCCAAGATCTTGCCACTGACTCCAGCCTGGGCAACAGAGCAAGACTCCATCTCAAAAAAGCAAACACACAAACAAACAAAAACAACCAATCTTACTCCTCCTAGAAATGTGCCACCCATGCAATGTTTCTGGGTCTGCACAGACTCCAAAGGCTTGAAGCATGAAAGTACTGGATTAACTCATAAACTGTATGTGAATAATAAAAATATTTATAGACTGAAGAATAAATATGCCAAGAAAAAAAATTTTTACAAAGTCTTGAAATTAAATTCAATTTAGGAACTATTTATTGAATGTCTACAATGTATCAGATACTGTGCTAGGTGCAGGGCCTCTGATGACTAATAAGGCAGTATCTCCCCTTCTCTCAAGGATTAATCCAGGGCACCAGCAGGTATAGCCAAAACCTAGTAGCATGGTTACAAGTAATCTCAAACCTTGTACCCAGGCCTGATCTCAGAGGAACCGTCACAAACTTAGCCAGTGACTGAAGCTGATTTCTCTCTGAGGTCATATTCAATACAGAACAACTGAGGTTATCAGAAAATGGAAGTTAGTGGCCATATGTTTAAGTTGACATTTGTTAAAAGTCAGAGACGTTTGAGGAAATTTTCCTGTCCTGATTAAGCAAAAATATAGAAAGGATATTAAATGTTACTGATTTGACTAACAAATTGAGCTGGAAGATTTGGTCTCCGACTCTTGTAGGGATTTCTTAGTCAATATCAAACTACAGCACTAACACTAGTCGTTTGCAGGTTTTTTTGTTTGGGTTTTTTTTTTTTTTTTTTTTTTTTTTTTGAGAAGGAGTCTCACTTTGACGCCTAGGCTGGAGTGCAGTGGCGTGATCTCGGCTCACTGCAAGCTCTGCCTCCCGGGTTCCCGCCATTCTCCTGTCTCAGCCTCTGAGTAGCTGGGACTAGAGGCGCCCGCCACCACGCCTGGCTAGTTTTTTGTATTTTTAGTAGAGACGGGGTTTCACCGTGTTAGCCAGGATGGTCTCGATCTCCTGACCTCATGATCCGCCCGCCTCAGCCTCCCAAAGTGCTGGGATTACAGGCGTGAGCCACTGCACCCGGCATTAGCCCTTTGTAAAGACAGACTGCCTAATTTATTTTCTTTAATGAGTCCAACTATGCCCATGCCCATTTTCATTAACATATCATCCATGCCACTGTGAAATCATGTGGCAGAATTAAATTCAGAACCATGACAGTCAATAATTCATTAGTAATTAATAGTATAACTCTGGCTCAAAACATCACCTCCCCCAACACAATCAGTGACTCTAAGTAGGACTGGCATACATTGGTTCACTCATTTAACCAATATTTTATGAACCATTTCCATGTGCCAGGCACTGTGCTAGGCACTGAAGTTGCAGCAATGAGCACAGTCTTGGCTTCTGTGAGGCTTTAAGATATATTCAATCAAGAGCCATTTCCCATATTCCTGTGGCAGGTATCACGAATCAATCACAGCAACCTCTCCTGACAAGTACCTACGAGCCCAAGGATCTTTCTCAACTTGATACTCGAGAATATTACCAGAGGTGGAACACAAGATGAATTTTATCGGCCACTCCACAGTCTAACTAACTATATTAAAATCACCTGCTATTCCCACAGACGGCTATGCTTTGGTTCATACTGTTTGTTTCTTTCACCTGCCTCTCCTCTCTTTATATGAACATCCAAATCAACTATTCAGAAGATACAGTTCAAATGCTCTACCTTGAATCCTCCCCAGTCAGAAAGAAATTATTCCTCCTGAATCTCTGTACTTCCTTTTTCAATACTATCTAACATAGTCTGCATAGTAAAATAAATGCCATGTCTCTCACATAAATATCTTAAGGCTAAGAAATGTCTTAGCGTCAAATTATTTACATCTTTGCGTGCGTGCGCGCACACACACACATACTTGCTAGATACTGGTTCAACTATGAGAGAATTTGAGATTAATATAGAAGCTCACTTGGGTAAAGCTCACTGGACAGCTATATTCAGTGGGAGTACATCATTTCTGCTGTTCTGGTTAACAGGTTGCATTTGCAAAGCAAATTATTCTAAAGATTTTGTTATATGAAAGAAGGAAAATATTTGATGTGCAGAAATGAAACGAGTGGATTCTTGTGAGTCATGGTCTTCTGAAGGTTGTAAAGCCCCAAATATTGTACATAGCATTTGTGTGTATACATATATTTGCATTTTTCCAGGGAAAGGATTCATAGCTTTCACCAGATTCTCAAAACAGGCTATAAGAACTAGAATATATGTGCAGTAATTGTAATGACATACTGACAGATACTGATGTTTGTTCTCACACATGTCAAAATGGCTTGCTGGCAAAGGGAAGAACCTTTCCCAGGTTTACATTTCTCTAAGGATGATCCTGGTAATCTCCAAACTGTTCTTCCTATGATTCACTGCTCCCACTTAGCCTTTTTTTTTTTTTTTAGCATCTAAACATCTGAATGATTGACAGCATCTATTAAACTTCCATGATAATTTCAAAACCTAACACACTTCTACTAGTAAACTTATCAAATTGATTTTGATTTTAAATCTTGTATACTTTCAGGAAACATGTTATCCAAAAAACCCAAATTAACACATATTAACTCACTCAAAGGCATTTAAAATCATCAATAGTACTTTTTTCTATCTAGGGAAATATAAATAAGGCACTAGGAAAAGAAAATGCATGTAAGACAAATAATATTAGTGAATTATTTTATTTAAAACCATCAGTTTTTCCAACGTGAATGGACTGGTTCATATCACACCATATTTAGAGATACAAGGTGATTATAACTAATGTGTCTACAAGACATACTGGGTCAAACAATGTGATCAATCCAAAGGGTATCTTTTTAAAAGAATTTAAGTACTCAGCTGCAAACATAAGTTAGTCACAAATGAGATTTTTTTAAAAAAGGTTTTTAATGTCAAATTTATTACAAAAACTTAGTGTGTAATCACAGCCAAATGCATTCCTCAGGCATGCCAGTGGCAAGCAAAATAATGTTAATAGAATATTATTAAAAAACAAAACTTTTTCTGAATGATATATGTAAAACATCATGGCACATTATCATCATTTGACAACAGAAAACAGGACAGGAAGACATGTTTCAATATTGACTTTTTGTTGTTTCTATAAACGTAAAAAAAAACAAAAATTTCAACAGAACACGTAAATCAGAAATTCTAGAGAGTAAGCCATAAAGAGGTGTTCTCTTCCATGCAATTGCCAGCCAGGTATGGTGGCTCACTCCTGTAATCCCAGAATTTTGGGAGGGTAAGGCAGGCAGATGGCATGAGCTCAGGAGTTCAAGACCAACCTGGGCAAGGTGGCAAGATCCTGCTTCTACAAAAAATAAAATTAGCCAGGTGTGGTGGTGCACACCTGTAGTCACAGCTACTCAGGAGGCTGAGGTGGGAGGATCACTTGAGTCCAGGTCAAGCCTGAAGTGAGTCAAGATCATGCCACTGCACTCCAGCCTGGGTGCCAGAGCAAGACCCTGTCTCGGGAAGGTAAAAAAGCACGCAATTCCCTACAAATAATGTCTAATTTCAATGCATGAGAAAAAGCATCTTTACAATTCAAACATATCTTTCAGCCAATAGAGGAACAACTCCATAACTCCCCAACTGCTTTATCTACAAAGACTTAGTGATTACACAATAAAAACTCCTTGGAATTGTAAAATAAATTTTAAATAGCAACAATTCACTTGTTCTTTTCTATTTTACTGACTTACACATTTTCAAATATGACCATGTTAATGACCAAGTATGTACAATATTTTAAGGACAAAAATAACAATTACATACAGTTTGCAAAGATCAAATTCTAACCATGGACACCTTTCTTCTAGTCCAATGACTGAAGCCTGTCCAGTGCCAGTAACTCCCAGGGACTGCATAAGGCCAAATGAAGCCTCAATGCTGTATTTACGTTTTTCCTTTCACACGCTTTCATTTTTCTTAAAGAAACAGTTACAATGTACCTGCTTTGAAAATATTAACAATGTTTTGTGCCACAGATCAGAGTCCTTGCTACTCACAAGCTACTGTTAATTGAAGGCAATGTTACCACTCAGATCAAATTCATATGTCTAGATCCCAGATACCTGGGTATGAAATATGCAAATCTGCCAAGAGAAATTAGATATTTTTCTTTTCTTTTAATATAACCCACTATATAATAGTGAACTAAATATGTTTGTTTCATAGAAACAACTTACATTTGCCAATATGAGGCAAATGGTCTATGTACAGATATATCAGGACTGCCTAACTGACAGTGAGTGTTGCTAGCCAGGCTCCAAGCTAATGGAGCTAATACGGTGGAGCTCTCTGCTGAATGGACTTCCCCTTCAGGATACGTCGGATCTGGAAGAGAAACAAATAAAATTTGTGAAGTTTATTTCTTATGGCCAATGCAGTGTATTTCCTTTTAAGTTTCATTCCTTTCTTATACAGTCTACACTACTCCTATTAACTTGTAAGTATATGAAGAAATACACACAATACTTCTCAAGATTTTGTGGTGACTCTTAAAAATACTAAACTTTTAAAGCTTATTTCAGATCTCCTAATCTTTGGGTCCAAGAAAGTAAAACATCTCCATTAAAAATTATCTGAAGTTGAAAATCTCCATAAACTTAAATAACACCTATATTCTTTTCCTAATTTTTAGTCTTGCTATTTGTGAGAACATTTAATATAAGGCAGTAATTAAGGCAAATTATAATATCTCGCTTATCTTGAAGTCAGCCTCAACTAACAGGAACACAAAACCCACATTTTATGATACACACACACAAGTAAATCCTTAATACCATTCGAGTCAAAACAGCTGTCATGATATCCAAGTATTAAAGCATCTACACATAACTTCATGGATCACAGAAAAGATCCCCGCTCATTCAGAGTGGTTCATTTTATAACCCAGTCTGATAAATTTTATTTTCTCTCTCTCAGCCTCCAGCAGATACGAAGCAACAATTTAGAAGAAAGGAGATTGGGGTAGGCGATACAACTGAGAGCTGCTAGAAGGAAACACACGATCACGGTATGACGATAAAAGCCAGGGAAAAGACCCCCTACCTCCCAACACACACAAAATACCAACGCAAAAAGGAGATCATCTGAGAACATTCAATGAAGAGCTAAATGGCTTAATACCTCAATAATCCCTGAGAGCATAGTTATATGACTGCATACCACAAACAGTGAAGTAGAAGCAAATACTGGGCTTAGGACTCTGCCTTTTTACAAGTTAATGATGGTCCTTGGAACCTCTCTGAATATCAATTTTCTCAGTTGAAACTTGAAAGTTGCAAAGTTCTTCTAACTATTAAAATATACATGAAAACTCTTTACAAACTATCGAAAGATTCTTTCTAAATTACACAGAGCTCTCTACATAGGGGCTACTATAACATTATGGTCATAATGACAGCTCAGAATCAAAGAAAAAGCTAAACTGCATTCCACATATTTTATTTTGTGATTAGTAAAGTATGTAATGACCTACCCACAGCCACAATCCCCCTCATTCCCTCCAGGAAAAGAGTTCTATCAAAAACATTTTAAGTTCTTATTATCTAAAAAGTTTACTCATGAAACTATTCAATCCTCAATGATAACATATAACCATATTTGATGAATAAAGCATTCATTCTGTTTAAAGTATAAAGTATTTCTAGGCTTGAAATTACATAATTTTTCCATTTTTGGTTCAGTATCACTTCGTAGACAGAAATAATTCTAACTATTGATGTTCACTGAGCTCTTCTTACTCTGTACCTGGGACTATTGTCAGCACTCCACATATAACAACTCATTTAATATCCACAATATTTGAAGGCTCATACCTTACAAGACTAAGATTCTCTTTCCTTGGTATCTGCAGGAACCTTGGTACCTTCTCTTTCCACACCTTAAACCATTCTGACTTACTCTAACCCTAAGTCTGTGTCACAGAATATTACCTGACCTCTCACCATTTTGAGTCTACGGATAAACCCTCAGATTTCTTAATTGCTCTGTTTCCAAAGGAAGAGGAACACCAAAATGCTATGACGGCTACCGTAAGACGCAGACACTGATAGAGCCCACCTAAAGAGCAACAGCTGGCCTCTGCCCTGCACAGCCTAGTCTCCCTTTAGGTTTCAGACTGGAGTGCCAAAAAGTACTTCCTCTCCCTCCTGTGCCTCTCACCTGTTCTCCCACAGGGCCATCGGGAACCAAATGCACTGGCTGTTCGTTCTCCAAGTTCCGAGTACTTGGGTCGGCTCCCTTCCTCATCAACAGGCGGACGGCATCTAATTGTGTCAGCCGGTACTGCAGGCTGGCAGCAACATGGAGGGCAGTGTTGCCATTGTAAGCCTGAAGATACAACGAAATACCAGACATCAGGAAGGGGGAAATTTCATGAAAGGAGCTCAAAAACTTTGAGAAGTTGTACAGAAGGCCATTCCCACTCTGATGTGGTTATTAAAGCTTTCTAAAAGTACCTTTGCATTCACAAAAGACAGGCAACTGGGCAGCTCCAAAAAGAGGCGAATGAGTTCCAGATTTGCTTCTTCAGCTGCCAAATGCAGGGCTGTGCGGCCACTTTTGCGATCCTTGTCAAAGGCAAGAGGGAGAGAAAAAAAAAAAAGAAAATCCAGATACCATGCCTTGGAATACACTTTTCACCCAGTCTCTTGAATGTCTGATTTGGCTTCAGAGACTCACTTTGAATGTTCCCTTCTCCACAATGCCTTGCTTAATCCCAAGCTAAAGGGAATCTTTTATTTCTCTTAAATTTCCTATTAATTTGCCTATATGCCTCATCACAATGTACCTTTTTATACAGAGTGGCCATAAAATGTAGAAAAATAAATGATATTTTTAAATCCTATGTCGTAATATTATCAGTAAACCATGTATTATGTATTCATCTGCATTTCCAGACTTGGTAGCGTCCCTGTAGAGTCATATTTAGCTGTTATCTCTCACCTCTTTTACTAGACAGTAAGCCTCAAGGGTCCAAATGGTTTATGACTTAGGCAATTTTCCCCCACATATTCAGTGAATAAAACCAAATTTTAAAAGAATATTTTCCAGCGTAAAAAACAGAAGATGAATTCCACATCCCACAACAATGAAGAAATCCTTACAAAAAGCACTACCTTTATTCTCAGTGTATGAAAATGGAAGCCAAAATGACAGTATCAATTTCAGGCATGTTCTTTTCCTTTCAAAGACTATTTTACACCTGAATGACCTTTTGGTTAATCCACAGATTCAAAGCAAATCAAAAAAACACATGAAATGATCTGTTAAAATCTGGGCTTCTTAACCACCCCATACATTGCTACTCACACCATTAATTTCAAAAAAAAAAAAAAAAAAAAAGGAAGTTTGAATCTGTACTTGGAAGCAAGGTCTTTTGCTCTTCTGCTATAACCAGCTTCTCCCCTACCCCATCTTAAACCTTTTCTTTGAATTTACCTTCGCTTCCACCGCTGCTCCCATCTGAATTAGGCACTTAATGGTATCAACCAGACTCTTATTCTTCAGTAAAAGCTCCTGAACTTCAGGTGAATGAGGCTGTTGATTTCTCTGGAGTTCATGGACCACAGCATTGTGGGCTATGACTGCACAATGAAGGGGAGTCAGGCCTAGAAGAAAAGTATAATCAAGCAGTGGTCGAGCATCCCATCAGGTCTTTTGGTCCTTCTATAACGACAAAAGTTGAGGATGGCCTCTAACTTAACCTACAAATGGGCTTCACAAGAACTAATAAAGCAATCTGAATATAGTCCCTTTGTTGGGTCTCGGTGCTAATTTTATCTACAGAATATTTTCGCTTTAATTATCTTCCTTCTTAGTATGATACTTAGTACCCTTAGACCTTATGGGTCCCCCTCTCTAAGTGGCTCTCAATCTAATAAAGTTTCAGTTGCTTACCATCATAGTTAGTTGCCTCAAGATCCACAAACTGATTACTTCCCACTGCTCCCTTCTGAATCGCCTGCAGAGTTTAAAAACAGACATCTGTTAGCAACACAAGCTGCGCATATACCTATTAGAATCCCCAAGAAATGAATAAGTTAACTCAACATAGATTATTGCAATAGGCAACCTATATCCAACTTCTAATATCCAACTGTATCTCTCTGGCCTTGCAATGATGGAAGCCTGGTCTGCTGCCTCTTACCTGAAGCACCTGGCAGTGGCCCTTCTCAGCACAGACATGCAGAGGTGTTCTTCCCCAGCAGTCTGTGGTGTTCACCTGCGCCCCGAGGTTCACCAGATCCTGCACAATGAGATGCTGATTGGCAGCCACTGCCACCTGAAAGGCACTCTGTGGATATCCAGAGGAAAAAAGGTATTTTAAACATACAATGTTATCATAACAAGGAATATGAAACTAAACTATGACTGAGGGAAAAACCCACATAGAGAAAATAAATCCTTTGAATAAGCAATCAAATACTGTAAGACAAGGAAACTAAAGTAAGCCGAGGGTGTGGCTTTATTACACTCAGTGTTTGGTCAAATAGCTACAAAGTTAATAACTTCAAGGTTAATGATAGCAAAAAGTCAACATCTCAAAGTTAATATTAACTACACTCTCTTGATGTTGAGCTCTAAGATGGTCATCATTCACAGCTCTAATGATGACCATCATAAGGCTGGTCATCATTCACTTCACCATGACCCCTCGTTGCCATTTCAGACTCTGTCAAGGTCCTCACCTGTCCATTGTGCTCTTTAATATCCAGCATGTGAAGTGCATTCATCTTTCTTGCTAGAACATAGGAAAGTGCTCTTCTCCCTTGGGCAACAGCAATATGAAGGAACCTGGGGAACATAGAAAGGAAAAGGGGTGAATTATTTCTGATTTCACTAAGTTGTTCTTTTGAAAAAAAAAAAAAAATTCTTCCTTTAGCCCCCTTTTTATATATTGGTACACTCAAATGAAACATTACAAAGCATAATTTGTCTTTTCTGCTACATTGATAATACACCCCAGTTGGAACAGGATGGGTTAGGCTATCAGAAATAAGAAAAAGAATGTCAAGCACCATGCTGATCACCTTACATCTATTATTTTTAATACTCATAAAATCCCTATACAAGAGGTATTATCATTTTACATCTCTAGGAACTGAGACATAAAGAGGTTAAATAACTTGCCCAAGGCCACAAAGGCATCAGGACAGATTAAGATCAATCTGCAAACCAACTCACAGTTTATCCCTAATCATGATCTAATTGTTTCTGTTCTACAGTCTACGCTGGTCTTCCAAACCCAATTATTCAAGATGACACAGATATTTTTACGATTTAGAACAGGTTATTTGTTCAGCCAAAACATTTCTTTGAAGGAAACCCCTTTCTTGACATATTAGCTATCACTGCATGACGGTTTCTATCTATACTAGTCATCTTGGTTAGCCAACCACTAAGGTATACCTTGGTATACCCTAGAAAAATTCTACGCTTACTAGTCCAACAAGTGTGGCTTACCTAATTAAGAACACGAGATAAAAGGATACTCACGTGTCACCATCTGCATCCTTTGAAAGAAACTGGTCTTGGGAAACATTTGCCAATTTGCTTTCTTCCTGCTCCACTTGCCACTGAAAAAGTGATTTCCCTAACTGTGTGGTATTCATTGGATTTCCAGGGATGTTTGGGAATGGCAGTGAAGTGTTTGAAGCGTCAGAGGCCATCTCGTGCCCCGCCATGGCCTCACAGAGGCTGGTGGACATCATGCTGAAGCCGTGCAAGTGAGCATCATTTTGCTGTTGAACACTGGAGGAAGTCGGAACGGGATTAGCAATATTCTCAGATTCCCTTTCATTATTAAGAAAGGAAACTAAGCTTTCGTTCGGGCAAAACTGTGATTCTTGACCATCAAAGAGGTTTGGTTCGTAAGTGGGGGACTGGGAAGGTCTGGAGAAACGACTGTATTCCAGAGTTGGTTTGTGGGTATAGTGCGGCTGCTGCTCTACATGCTGGTTCTGTGGAGAATACTGGTACAGGGAAGCCTGGTCTATCACTTGTGGGGGGCTGTTGACTTGGAATGGTTGGTATTTCTGAGGTGGAGAAAAGACCTGCCCTCCATGGAAGTCTTGACACTGCTCTGCAGGGGAGCTCTGAGGGACCACCACGGGGTTCAACCAGCTAACTTGAACTGTGTTCAGGGAAACGGGGCTGCATTCATTCTTAATGTTGATGATGTTCTGAAGCAGATCAGCACTGCTGTCCTGTTTGGGTTCATTGTGATGAACATCTTCCATGCTCTCCCCGGGCGTTGGTGTTTGAGGTGGTGTCTGGAAAGAAGTAAAATGCAACTTGCACACTCACTTCCTTCTAAAATTATCCCAGGAATAATTCCCAAAGGATAATCAGAGGAAAATTGTAAGATACTTACCAAAAAGTGGGAATGCAACAGAGCTGGCCTTTTGCAAGCTGGTCCATCAGACGACGAATCAGGCCCTTTCCTTTTCCCACCATATGATACTGTGTTCTTCCATTCTGTGCCCAAAGGAATACAGCCTCTGTGATCATCTTATTTTATACATGTTACCCACAATTACACTCTATGATTTGACTCTAAAGCCCCGGAAAAATTATCAATACAAGTAACTCTTACCTCTGAACTGTTCTATGTTCACACCTTGTGTCTATAAAAGAAAAAAGTTTCCAATTTAGTGTATACAAAATGACTTCCTCTTAATATACATCAGTAAGTAAGCTTATCTCTAACACCCCTTATATCTTACCATAAATCTCTGATACGGTTTTTCTATCAATATTTATTTTCTATGTCAATTTTTATTCCATCTTGCAACTTCCTCATTTTCACTTTCACCTTAGCTCAACGCAAGTCAAGATGAAATTAATAAGAGCATTTGATTTTTCCCCTTCTAGTTAAAATGTTCCATTTCGGTTGAGTCCCTGAACTTGCCTTCATTTATTCACTCATTAAGTTTCTCTTGCCCACCTACCAGGTGTCTGGCACTGGGCTCAGTAGGATGCAATAGACCAAATATGGTCTCTGTCCTATGGACTCTGTCATCTACGAAAAATTTCAAGTAACTTACTTGATGACTGGACCTAGGCCATCATAACAACCCTGACAGACTAACCCCTCCCCACCACTCTACGCTCAAAACAGAAAAATAGATGTCACCTTAAAATCATCCACAGCTTGGCCAGAGCCCTTCTGTTTATGACTTCGGATGTGCAACAGGAGTTCCTTCACCGAGTTCTTCACCCGAACACCTTGAAAAGGGCCCCTCTGCTGCCTGCCAACCCCCATATGGGGCTCAACTGTTCAAAAGAAAACAAAACATATTCCTGGTTAAATATCTTCACAGACATAAACATTACTAATCCCAAAAGTATAGCTGTTGCCTAATGTATACAGTCCCCAAGCAGCAGATTGCAAAATATTTCCAACTTGCTCTGGTCAATCATTGTGAGTCCCGAGCTCTGCTCAAGGCTCCTAAGTTGCCTGATACCTTTCTCTACTGGGTACCCTGAGAAATTAAAGCTCATAAAAACATGGTCAAGGATCCTCAGAACCAAGAGGCAAACCCAAACTAAGCCTCTCTATCTTTCGGCTCTAACCACCCATGAGAATGGATCACAGATTTTGCCATCCTGACTCTCATAGATCTATAATTATTCTTGACTTTGGAAAAACCTTGGGGAGCAAGTGATAAATGATGCACTTTTAGCTTTTTAAACCAATGGTTTTATGTTCACATAGAAATTTTAAAGTCTATCAATTCCGCTTACCCAAGAAGGCACAAAACAACTTCTTTCAAAGATCTCAATGTACCAAAACCTGACAATTAACAATGTCTTAGATTCATGTCTTATTATTTCCTTCAATTCAACTGTGCCAAAAAAAAAAGCTGCTTAAATCAACTGAGCTTAAACACATTTCTACATATGCAAACAGGATTTCCCCTTACTGACTGTTTTTGGAATTACTTACACAGGTCTTCTAAGTAAAAAGGAAATATGCTTGTTTCACTTTTAAATTTTGAAATACACTTTAGCATTTAGTATAGAAGTACAGTACACTACTTCTGATCACTATTATGTCACAACCTCTTAGTATATGTGTTGAACATAAATTCACAAAAAGTCACGAAATGAATAATTCAGCCACTCCATCAAGTGTAGAAAAAACAAGGTGGGGCAAGAAACAACGCATAATTTGAACATATGTATCTATCATAAATATATGAGATAAATAGTTCAATGATAGGGTAAGTGAAACATTAGTTGGCTTTAAGTTTAGGGATTTCAAAAGATACCAGAATTGGCAGAATCTAACACAGCATTTTTCTGGAATGACAGTAGTTAATAATCCAACGTCACAGAGATTTAAAAAAAAAAAATGCAGTTTCAGAAATCCCCTGCGGCCGTGTGGTAAACCAAGCGACTAGCAAAACAGTTTCAGCCAGATGAAGGCCAAATGGGGAAGAAAAGGTCCTAAACACACATTCTTTCTGGATCTGCTACACAGTGGTTTAAACCACTTTTCACATGATTTTAAATGACTTAAAATGAAAATGAGAAATCACTTTTTAAAATAAATGACAACCAAAACAGGAGTGGCTAAGAGCGGGAAACACCGGAAAGAGATTTCTTTAAGACCATGCTGATTAGACTCTCAACGGTTCAATTATCGAGGCGTTTTTCTAGCCTACCCACAGGGGCATCCTGTTTTCCCCCAAATTATGCAACTCGGTTCACTAAGAAAGGAAACCATTTCGCAGCCAACGAGAGATAACATTACGTCTTTCTCTGCTAGATATGGCTTATCCGTTTTTTTTTTAAGGCATACAGAACAAAAATAAGACCTCAGAAATTCTGGGCAGACTTCCGAAACTCGCCAAACTAAAAGCATAACTTGAGTTGGTTTTCAGCCTGCCTTTATAACAGCAGTTTTCTTCTCTTTGACGGTCAAGTCTTTTTACTTAAAACTTCCATAAATACTGACGAAGAAATAAGTCATGACCTTTAACGCAAACCCCAAACGCTTATCCTCTGCTACAGCTTTTCACTAAAATAGTCACAAGAAGAAAATTACACCTACATCAGACCCCAAATCTCATCATAGTATATTCATTATAACTCAACAAAGCTGCTTCTTAGAGAGTGAGCGATCTCCTGGTCACCGGCAGTCAGAGCTCGACTGAGCGGTTTCCGAAGCCCCGAGGCCCGCAAGAGGGCGCCGGTACAGCGGGCCGCCGAAGGGCGTGTAGATCTGGCAGGCGTCCGGCCCGGGGAAGGCGGGGAGGGGTATTGATGGCTAAGGTGCGTACGTCCTAGCTCTAAAGAGGGCGCAGGGGCCACCCTCCATCTGGGGAGTCTTCCAACCTCCCAGGGCGTGCGCGCCCCGAGAACGCAGCGGTGCGGGGTCGGCTGGTACCTGGCTGGCGCTCGGCGCGGGCGCCGCCTCTTGGCCGGGACTCCACAGCGCCGCAGGAGGACACAGACGAGGCGGAGGAGAAGTCCGAGGAGTCGGAGCCGGGAGAGCCGGGCGCCGAGGGGCCCGAGGCCGAGCAGCTAGCGTCGCAGGCGCCCGGGGCGGCAGCGGGCGGCGACGCGCCGTAGAAGTAGCCCAGGTTGAGTGGGCTGGTCATGAGGCCGCAGCCGCCCGCCGCGTCCCGCAGCCCCTCTCCGCCGCGGCTGTCGTCCAGCAGCTTGTCCACAATCATGCTCCCAGGCTGGGCGCTCGGGGACCCCGACACCTGCGCCACCGGCTCGCTGCGCGCGGCTGACTCCCGGGCGGGATCAGAGAGCTCTCGGCGGGCGGATGGCGCGGGCGGGTACGGGCGCGACGCGAGGCTGCCAGGGTATTTAACCGGGCGCCGCGCTCGCCGACCTCCCCGGCGCCCGGCCCGGTCATTGGCGGTGCCCGGGCCGCCTCCCAGCCCCTCCTCCGGATGCGGCCGATTTCCAGTAAAATGTACAGGATGAGGCAATGCGCCCTCCGCCCTCCGCCCTCGCCCCGCCCTCCCGGCTCCGCCCAGACCGACCGGTTGTTTTCCTGCCCTTCACCTGGAAACCCCGACAACGCGCGGCTTCCCGCCTCCTGCCTCTCGCCTCCAGCCTTCCATCTCCCGCCTGCGGGACCCCGACCCTCGCCCGGGCCAGTCCTGCCCTCTAGGCCCCCGCCGGGCCTGGGCGCCCGGGGAGAGGGTGCGCGGCGCAGGGCTGGGCCTGCAGAGGGAGGCGGGAGTCAGCGGTGGGAACCGGTCGGCCTGGTTCTTGGGGACTGGCAAGTCCGGAAGGAGCGCGCCCCTCACCCCTCTGCCTGCCCTGGCGCGGCGAGCTGTTAGCCCAGTTAACGCATCTCTGGAAGGTTCTCAAGGTCCTGTCTCCTCGGGCGCCCCAGCGTAGTAGCCTCCCTTCTCAAAACGTTTGTCGATATTTTTAGGCAACATCCCGAATTGAAAGAGATGTTGGAGCATTTTTATGTTCTCAAATTATCTTCTGGGACGCAAATAATTTTTTAGGTGCAGCCATGAATAAAAAGTAATGCCACACTTCTGTATCCTTCAATACTAGAACAAAGCCATCTTAGCAAAATAATAAACATATAGGTGTCTGTATTATACATAGATGTAATTTTTTAAATTCTGCATAGCTTTACATTGCATCTGATAAACTAACACAGTAATTTTGACCTTTCTTGAATACTTTTTTCCAATGGATTTATACAACTATTTGTTCAAGTCCAACTAGCAAAAAATGCAGGAATGATAAGGTTAAGTACACACATGCTATGTTAAAAGAAACCGATTATGATTAAATAACACGAGGGATACAAAGTTCAGTGAGCCACCTAAAAAGAGAAACAACAGGTCTGGTAGAGGAAAAAGGAGGACAGAAGGAAAATCTTTGCAGGGGTGGTGGCATTTAAGATAGGTCCTAAAGGATGGGGGGGCATGGGGCCCACAGCATTTACAGAAAGAACAAGAGCAAAGAATTAAGGAGAGGGTTCATATTATAGTGTACAGTCCCCTTTTACGATTGTCAGGAGAAGACAATGACATTAAACATAAAAGGTAACTTGGTGCCTTTGGGTGGAGCACCTCCAGCAGCTGAGACACTGGAATTTTATTTAGTAAACATTGAGAAAACATGAATTTTAAGTAGGCAAAATTAATCTGCAAGCAGTTGAGAGAAGATGAGGAGCCCAGAGGCCATTAGGATCCACTGCAGTAGCCCAGGAGAGAAATGACTGGGCACTGGGGCAGATACAGTGGGAAAGGAGAAAGTAAATGGAAAGAAAGCAGAGCGGGGCAGCATTGCTAGGGCAGAACCCACAGGTCTGGCTCTTTTGGAGGTGGGGAGCAATGAAAGGGTCCCCAGTCAGGCCGTGGCTTGGAGCCATGACCAGGTGAACAGGACCACCAGCTCCAGATCACATGGAAAACACCAGAGCAGAATGTTAGGGTTTTAGGAGGGAGGGAGGGACACCATGAGTTTGGATTGTTACTCAGTATTAGTAGGTGGTATAAGACCCTGGTGGGGACAGGTCCAAAGTAAATACAGCCATGCCCCACAAAATGATGTTTAAGTCAACAATGAACTCCATGTACAATGGCGGTCCTGTAAGATTTTAATACCATATTTTTTACTGTTTCTATGTTTAGATATGTTTAGATAGACAAATACCTCTGTGTTACAGTTGCCTACAGTGTTCAGTACAGTAACATGCTGTGCACGTTTATAGACCAGGAGCAATAGACTACACCATAGAGCCTAGGTGACTAGTAGGCTAGACTATCTAGGTTTGTGCAAGTACATTCCATAATGTTCAAACAACGACAAAATCACTTAACGACACATTTCTCAGAATGTATCTCCATCGTTAAGCAATGCATGACTGTATTTCCTTGTTTCTCACAAGTGTATTTCCCTAAAACTTCTTGCTGTCTCTCCCTCCAACTTTTTGATAACTTTAAAAAATAAATAAATAAAAAACAAAACAAATCCCTTGGTGTATCTGTGGAAAATACAAGACTTCAGTAATTGCAATTCCTTGGAAACCAAAATCATTTAAAAGATGCTCCAAATAAGATGTTGAGTGTGATGGTTAATTTGATGTGTCAATTTGACTGGATTAAGGCATGCCCAGGCAGCTGGTAAAACATCATTTTGGGGTATGTCTGTGAGAGTGTTTCTGGAAGATATTTGCATTTGAATCAGTAGACGGAGTGAAGAAGATCCCCCCTCGCCAATGTGGGCAGGCGTCCTGCAATCCACTGAGGGCCAGAACAGAACAAAAAGGCTGAAGCTAT